ACTTCCACCAAGTCCCATTAGAAGGGCACACCAGGTGACAGATGATATGGATAAAAATGCTACAATCAGCCTCCAAAGAGCTTATCATTGGTTCACCCAATGACCTCACCCTGGCCTTCCAAATGACCCCCAGCCCTAGCCTCCATCATAAGATCTCCAAATTTCCTCCTATCTGCAAGCACCACAACTGGCTTTCTCAGTAATGGCTGAAAATGGAAATGCCCTCATTGTACTTCATCAAAAATACAAGCAAGCAAACCACAAAAGGGTTGTAAATTAAAAATTCAACAGAAAATGCTTCGATTCATTTATTCTTTCATTCACTCAGCTAGTCTTCACTGAATGATTACAGTGTACCAGGCATCTTGCTAGGTGCTGGGGACTCCCAGCAAGGAACAAGATGGACATGTTTTCTCTCCCCTGGGCCTTAGAGTTTACCCTTAAAAGAGGACGGAGTCCCTAAAGGAAAGGCTCTGCGTTGCAACGTAAAACGATTCCAACCCTGTTAGTTCCGTGATGCAAAAACAGAAAAGAGCACCTTCAGAGATAGATGTAAGAAGTGAACTTTGCAGTAACTTAGTCATTAAGCAACTGGATTCTGATAAGAACGGTTCAGGAGGGCAGGACGGAGGAAATGTCCTCAGACTTTCCAAAGGAATATTCTTGGAATAGAAAGTTGCTCTTTCTATAATAAAAAATCAAACATTAAAAAAAAAAAAAAAAGGCCGGGCGCGGTGGCTCACGCCTGTAATCCCAGCACTTTGGGAGGCCGAGGCGGGCGGATCACAAGGTCAGGAGATCGAGACCATGGTGAAACCCCGTCTCTACTAAAAAATAGAAAAAAATTAGCCGGGCGCAGTGGCGGGCGCCTGTAGTCCCGGCTACTCGGGAGGCTGAGGCAGGAGAACGGCGTGAACCCGGGAGGCGGAGCTTGCAGTGAGCCGAGATTGCGCCACTGCACTCCAGCCTGGGTGACAAAGCGAGACTCCGTCTCAAAAAAAAAAAAAAAAAAAGGTAGCAGCAGCACCTCGCTCTGGGCCCATTTCCCAAGCCCAGTAAAAAGTGACACTTCTGGGGTCTTTGCAGCTTCAGATGTCGCCAGGGAAAGGCGGACGTCTTAGTCTGCTTTTCCAGGCAAATATACAAGTAGCCTTCTGCCATAAACAAATGAAAAAAAAAATAAAAGCCAGAAATAAAAGCCTGGTGACAGGATGCCAGAAACCTTCAAAAGGGGACCTTCAGAATAAGTTCAGGTTAACTCTCACCATCTCTGAACATAATAAGCACTATCAAGTCTACATTCACTATTTTATAGCAAGGACAGCGTTGATGCCAATTATTTTTTGCCCTAGTCAAGAGAGCTTGTCATCCTTCTCAGAACAATTATCTATAGGTGCATAATAGTGAAAAGCTAAATTCTTCCCCCAATTCAGTATGGGAAAAGTGCTGCTCACAGCAATTTGACATCATTCCATTAGATGAGATTAATTTTTAAACGTGTTATTCTAACAATTATGCCAAGTACCATGTAATTAATATTCCAACTGACTTTACAAAAATTACAAAATCCCCTAAAGAAAGTAATTAGTCATTAGGCATGAACGAGACTTTTCTATAGCCAACGGCACATAAAACAGAAAGTTCATCTCATAATGGGTGGGTATCAAAGCCTTTCTCATATGTCCTTCAATTCTTAGCCAATAGCGCATACAGCTGACATTGGCAAGTTACCCCAAACTTCACTTAACATATTAACGCACTTACTGGTTTAAACTCTTTGAGGGTAAAATGACGAACGATGAAAGCTTTAGCAATTAAAAAGCTCTTTTCATTTGTAGGAAAGGCAAGATAAACATATATAATTAATTGTTTGCTCTTCCATGTCCCTAGCTGGAAATTAGAGTACTGGCTTATTTCTTGAGGCTACTTCTTGTGTTTATTAAAGAAATGTATATAGGCATCCTCATCCTTGTTTTCCCTCTTTTCTTTCAGGGTTTTGTGTATTCTTATAATCTATTTTAAATCCCTTGTAGAAAAAGGTAAGGTATAAATAAGTAATAGTCGCACAGGACGTCATATGCTATAACAGAAATAAAAAACATGTTTTCCTTGCCACCCTCTTCTGAATAATTGGCAGTCACTGCCTAGTGCCAGAACAGAGAGTTGCAAGGATTCTAAGCCAATATACACACAGCCTCAGCAGGAAAGAATGCAATGGTTGATTAGTGATGTCTGCCCTACAAAGAGCAAGAGGTTAAGAATCCAGGTACCATGTATTTGCCATCTCCACCCTTTGATAAATCACTAAAAATTAGAAAAATACATACAGATTCATGAAAAAAATATAATGTGAATTGTTTCCAGGATGCAAGTAAACGGGAAAAAAATGTTTTCTACAGTTGAAAACCTTAAGCAAAACCGGACTAAAACATCAAGTTTTGAGGAAAGAACATTGAACCAGGTCAGGAAACCCAAATTCTGGTCTAGCTTGGGGAGTTATAAACAGGTCAGTTCACCGGGCCTCAGTTTGCTCACCTCTAAAATAAGGGGCTGAGTCTCTTAACTGTTCTCTCGTGCTGGTGAAAGAACACAGTTCCTTTACAGGAGCCGAACCTCAGCAGGCTGGGGACATGTCTGCAGCCTCGACACCCCCTCACATTGCTCATAGGAGATTTATAATCTGGGATAAATGCATACAGATATTTTTAACCTGTAGCATTCCCAGCACAAGAAGTTCCACATACATAATACATAACATTTCTTTTCCTTAATACAACCTATTTTCCACTGTGGGGCAAGGGTAGGGGTTGACGTAGGAACTTCTTTTTTCTTTTTTTTTTTTGAGATGGAGTCTCGCTCTGTCGCCCAGGCTAGAGTGCAGTGGTGTGATCTCGGCTCATAGCAAGCTCCGCCTCCCCGTTCACGCCATTCTCCTGCCTCAGCCTCCTGAGTAGCTGGGACTACAGGCGCCCGCCACCACATCCGGCTAATTTTTTTTATATTTTTAGTAGAGACAGGGTTTTACCGTGGTCCCGATCTCCTGACCTGATGATCTGCCCATCTTGGCCTCCCAAAGTGCTGGGATTCCAGGCGTGAGACACCGCGCCCAGCCGAAGTAGGAACTTCTAATAGCGGAACAATTCAGTGATTAAACTACCTTCATTCAAAAATTCAGTGTCATCACTTCAACCTAAGACTAGTCATTTCCATGAAGGGTCCCACTCACTCATGGTTTTGAGATCAGCCTGAATCTTCCCACCACTGAACAGTCCTTGTCACTGTACCCTATTTCAAGAACTTGACCCACAGGGTACATCAACATGGCTTCCTTTTCCAAACACCTATCTGTGTAGAGCTGGAACAGTCCCACGTCTGGCCTAAAAAACTGCAACAGACATCTGTGATTTCTTTATCTGCCCTGCATCCATCCCTTCTGGGAACTCCCTCTCTCCGAACTCCAAGGAGCCCCATTTCCTGTGTTTCAGGTGCTCTGAGCTGAGGATCCCACCCATGGATGCAATGAACCATCTCAGAGGGCCCCTATCAAGTTTGGGCCAGAATCCTTTTTCAGAGCCTGACATGGACACTGGGAGGTCACCAGGTATGAGAACTATGTATACCCACAACTGCTGAGTCATGTTTTTGACCCCTTGGAGAGCATCAGGCCAAGAAAGGAAAGCAGTCCTAGAGAAGGCAGGGGAGTGACGTTCTTGCCACACCACCCAAGCACCCTGATCCTCCTGAGCTCAGTCACGGACAAGCAACTCCCTGAACATTTTAGTTCCTTGAACCAGTGAAGGCCCCCATGCCCTTTTTATTTTTTTTTTTTTTTGGATAAATCTAGACCCAGCTGGGTTTCTGTCACTGGCAGCCCAGAGTTTTGGGGAAAGGCCTTGTAGGCTACATGTATGCATTCAAGGTTCAAGTTCTTTCTTTAGTAACCCATGATAAATCACCTTCCTAAATCACAAAGGCAGCTCCCAGGGTTCCCCTTCAAACCAAAGAATACTAAAACACCCTCAAAGAGAAATTCAAAGAAAAAATTCTGCACACCAGGAAAACTCTCAAGGTTTATCTCTTATCCAAGACCTAAGGGGGAAAAAACACCAAAAAGAAGAAAATGCCAATGGATTACTGGAGGAGGCACCACCCTGCATACAGTGAAACAACTAACAATTCTAACAACAATTATTCAAAGAGGCAGCACAGTATAATAAAAAAGATTCCAAAATCATTCCTAAAGTATATATATATTCTAGTTCCCTATCAACATAAAAAGCCCGTACACACATGCACGCCACAACACATAGCACCCAAACAAAAGGAACTTGTTCGTAAACAAACGAACCGTTTCCAGATTCATGAGGCTAACTGTTTCTGTTATTTTACAACTACAGTTTAGTTTTCCACTTACAGCTGTCCTAGGGTCTCTGCCACAGGCCTGCCTGCTGAAAGAAATCATGAATATCAAACTCTACAGAGCATGTTAAGAAAAATCTCCCTTAGGTGGCATCGAAGTAATTAGAGAGTCATCTAACAAACGGTATTGTAGCGATGCTCATCCATCTGTGACAGAGGAAAAGACAATACAAGAGCATAATGTTTGCAGCTAAACATTTAGACACCTCCTGGGGGCCACAGATTCCTCTGTGAACCTGACAAAGCTACGAAGCCTTCCCCAGATACACATGCACATACCACAACATGCTGCATATAATTTTAAGGGGTTCATAAGAGTTGCTCCCTATACCCGGTCTCCAGGTTAAATACACCTGAGTTAGAATTTTTAATATGTAATCACCTGAGCATCATGAATCCCCAAAGACTTCAAAGGACTACAAAATAGATCACAGAAAAATTCTACAACTTCCAACTCTATAACCCCATGCTGAATCAAGAACATAACAAGCAATACAAACTTACTCTTGCTTTCTGCATTTATGGAATATAAGAAAATTTGGCTTTCCATCTATTAGCTCCATTTATTACATCTCCCTTACCTTGTTTGACCATTTATATGCTTGAAGGAGTTGACTATAGAGAGGAGTTTTGTCCTGCACAGGATCCAGGCTTAACAGCCCACTGTTATGAAGAGGATGGTTCTCAGATGGCTTGCCTACCAGATTGCTCAGACGTTCCAGCTCACTGAAAAGCAAAGAGATAAGGCAAATAAACCTAAGCCCACTTACACTCCAAGGTAAAGCCAACCCCCAGGATCAAAGACTGCTCTTCAAACCATCCATCAGAAGTCCCTTAAGAAGAAACACTTTTTGAAAGGTTAAAAAATATTTGGGACACTTAAAAAAAACAAAAACAAACAAAAACCCTAAATGAGAGCTTATCTGACTTTAAAACAGAGCTTCCTGGTGCCATTCCAAAGGAGGAAAAAAACGTACAGGCACTCGAATCAATAAGACTCCCACAATCAGAATTGAACAACTCAAATTCATCTCTGCAGTGGGGACGAGACTTTCTGGAATTTTGAAATGTGGCATAACACGGCCTCTCACTAAGAGTTTTCAGACCCACGTGCAGATCATTACACTTGGCAGAACAGCAAGTACCTGAATAAATGATTATTTATCATTCACATAGGGATAGATTTGTACATGAGGCTTCACAGATGGCAAAACTTAACAAAACAAAGAAGAGATAAAATAAACAAATGGAATGGGAAGACACCACCGAGGGGGCTGTGTCAAACACACTTCAGTCTAGCAGGAAAACCCTCGAGAAGCTTGGGAAAGCGAGCCAACAAGAGCACATTCCAGGAGTACGTTCTGAGGGGCCAGTCCCAAACTGCCAACAAAAGACTCTCTAGGAACAGCTTCTTATGCCACATTCATTTTGGAATCATCAGCCACCTTCTTCTTGGCACTACTGTACAAAGATTTAAGACGGCACAGGGATAATGTCAGCACTCTTAAAGTTTCTATTTAAAATGGTGAAGGGTTATAATATCCTGAACATTACAAAGGAAAGTAACTCGGAGAGAAAATGGAAAGAAAATAGAAGATAGGGAAGAAGAGCCAGTGCATCCCCTGAAGCAGGGAAAGTATTAACTGGTGCTCGGCGCTGTGCCAGAGAATAGCAAGTGGATGTGGGCGTTGAGAAGGGGTGTGTGATTTATGGCAACTACTTAGGGGGAAAACAAAAAGGCACCCATCATTTGGCCACCTCCTCCACCTCCTCCTCCATCCTACCTCCTCTTTCCATCTGGTTACTAAGGAGACCAAGTTGAAAAAACAAAAATTCAACCAGTCCAGAAATCAAAGGATGACTAGCTCACCAAATGCTTTCCCCTACTCAGGTCAGTTCTGAGAAGTAAAAGGCAAAAATCCTGAAATTCTAACCTTCCTGGGAAGGGCTGACTCTTTTATAAAAGAGAAGGCAAGTTCAGGACCTAAGCAATCAAGAAGTGCCGACTATGTGCCAGGCCCTTTACAAACATCCTCTCATTTAACTCTTACAACACTTGTAAAGTATAAGTGAGGAAGGTGCTTTGTAAGAAAGACTAGGAAAAGTGGAATCCTTAACCCTAAAAGACTACAAATTAAGAAGCAGGGGCGTTAAGCATAAGTAAGTAAACTGGTTAGGAGCTTGAAAATTAGGTCTCTACTGCGGAAGGAACTGAACAGGAGCAGTGAGAGTGGGAGTGAGGAAACTGATCAGGTGGTTTGGGAGAGGGTAGGGAAAAGAGGGAAGATAGCTCAAGGCCTGGCCTGTTTCCTCGTGGTTGCCGGTGGGTGGTGGTGGAACTGATGAAGTCCAAGTTCAGGGCCAGGGAATTGGGGCTAATCAGATTGGGTGCACTTGGGTTTGGAGCGGACTGATCAGGTCCTGTCTGTACTATCACTACATTCGGATCAGACGTGATGGGGCACAGAGGGCCTACAGGTGAGAAACCTGCCAAGCTCAGAGAAGCGGAACTTCATAGGAAGAGCATGCCTCCTTGTCAGGAATGGAACTGCCACAGAAGAGGTCGAGGATGGCGGGAGACAAACAGGACCAGGAGGCCAGGAGAAGCGAGACGAGAAAGCGGGCATGGTGATAAGGTGTCCCTGAGAGGCAGGCAGAGGCTTGGAGAGCACGAAGAGAAAGAACGGGGATCAAGGGAAATGGAGAACAGCCCCTGCCTGGGAAGACTCGAGCGACGTAGGCGCAGGGTCGGAGCGAGGCCGGTCCCCGACCCCGGCCCCTTCAGCCGGTACCTACTTGAGGTCCCGGTTGACCGAATGTAAGTTGTCCTGGAAGTGCGCAATGAAGGCCTTCTCCCGGCCCTCCAGCGTCTCCTTGTTCCGCATCCCATCCTTCAGGCAGTCGAACACCCTGCTCACGCTGGAGCGCAGCGCCTGGATGGCACTAATGGCCTGGGAAAAGGCCTCCAGGTTCACACTGACATTTATCACGTCCGCCATGTTGCCGCCGCCACAGCAGCTCTCCAAAGCCGGCTTCGCCAGCAAAAAGCCGCGCTCGCTGATGACGTAACTCCGAAGACCTCTGGGAAATGCAGTTCGCGCGGGGCTGCCCAGAAAGCACTTTCGAAAAAGGGTTTCTCCTTGAGCTAAACGAATGCGTGGGCAGGAAAATGATTTTTCTCAACTTGGGGAAGTCAGGTTGCACTCTTTGTTTGTTTAATGGTAACAAAGAAATACAGAAAGTTCCCGCATTTCCCCAAACTTGCATTCTGGGGAGTCATAGAGAAAAGAATTGCTCAGAGCAATAGTGTAAAAAGGAAAGGAGCGTAGCCCATTCAATAAAATGAGTCCATATTCATAAATAAAGGGGGGAGAAGGGAAGTTTCTTCTTTCTAGTAGAATACCAACTCATCAACGCAGAAAGAGTGATGGAATTAGAAAATTGCCATTTGACAACCATTAAAATAATTGATTCAGATAGAAATCGATGGATGCTAACACTAGTGGGTGAAAGTGTCAGAAAAATAACAGGTTTTTCAGGTAATCTCAAAGTATTGTCCCCCAAGATGCTTATGAATTAAGAAGAGGAAAATAATGATCCAGAGGTTCCACTTCTGGGCGCATACCCAAAAGAAGTGAAAGCAGGGACTCAATACTTGTACACATGTTCATAACAGCATTATTCACCAAATAGCCAAAAGGCAGGGGCAACCCAAGTGTCCATAAACTGATGAATAAGCAAAGTGTGATATTGGCATACAATGAAATATTCTTCAGGCTTAAGCAAGAAAATTCTGACATATGCTATCTGGAGGAAACTTGAAGACATTATGCTAAGTGAAATGTCAGTCACAAAAAGACAAAATTCTGCTTAGAGTAGTCAAAATGTTAGAGACAGAAAGTAGAATGGTGGCTGGTTTACAGTGAAGCACACACCTCCGAAAATAACATACATAGCACAGAGGTTGTGGAAGAAAGAGAAGGTTTGGGATTTAAACAAAACCATTTTGGCCAAATCTGGCTTTATGAAAAAATTCAATGTCTCTTTGTCCTGTTGGCTATAGACAGGTTTCTGAAAATTTATTATCTTTTTACCAAAGGGAACCTGCCCAAGTCCTCATGTTCTTTCCTTAGAGGAGCTGGGGTTGCATAGCTTGGAGCAGACAAGAGTAGAGCAGGAGGTAGGTCATGATTGTCACTTTCAACTCACCTTCATGTCAACCCAAGACAAGAGTCGTCCTTGGTTAACTAGTGGCAATAACAAGAACCAGTTGTAGGAAAGCTGTAGAGAGGAAGATTTCAGCATAATATTGCAAATGGCCACCTTTAAGTCTGTACTTAAAGAGTACAGACTTGGAAAAGTTTTACAGCTGGCTGGTGGTGATGGCTGTTCAACAATGTGATTGTACTTAATGCCACAGAACTGGACACTTAAAAACAGTGAAAATGGTTGATTTTATGTCATGCATATTTTACCAAAAATTTTAAACAATTCATTAATGTAAAAATAAGGGGGGATGGATAGTGACTTAAGAGTGACTTCACAGTGGAGAAACATGGCAGACACGAGCTTAACCAAAAGGCCAAGGTCAACATCACCAGTGATGGGACATGTTGTGCACCTCCTGGTACAATGCACTGGAAAGAGCACAACATGACCTCCGTGATATTCTTGCCAGCAGTGCATAACCTGAATCTAATCAGGACATCAGTAGAACTCAAACTGAAAAACATGACAAAAGTAACTGACTGATCTGTACTGTTTCAAGAAATATCTGTGTCAGGCCAGACACAGTGGCTCACGCTTGTAATCCCAGCACTTTGGGAGGCCAAGGTGGGTGGATCATTTGAAGTCAGGAGTTCCAGACCAGCCTGGCCAACATGGTGAAACCCCATCTCTACTAAAAATACAAAAAATTAACTGGGCTTGGTGGTGGGCACCTGTAATCCCAACTAATCGGGAGGCTAAGGCAGGAAAATTGCTTGAACCTAGGAGGTGGAGATTTCAGTGAGCCAAGATTGTTGTGTCATTGCACTCCAGCCTGGGTAATAAGAGCGAGACTCAGTCTCAACCAAAAAAAAAAAAAAAAAAAAAAAAAATTTATATGTATATATGTATATATCTGTGTCCTGAAAGACAAAGAAGGCTGAGAAATTCTTCCGGATTAGGCCGCGCACAGTGGCTCACGCCTGTAATCCCAACACTTTGGGAGGCCGAGACGGGCGGATCACGAGGTCAGGAGATCGAGACCATCCTGGCTAACACGGTGAAACACCGTCTCTACTAAAAATATAAAAAATTAGCCGGGCGCGGTGGCGGGCGCCTGTAGTCCCAGCTACTCGGGAGCCTGAGGCAGAAGAATGGCGTGAACCTGGGAGGCGGAGCTTGCCGTGAGCCGAGATAGTGCCACTGCAGTCCGGCCTGGGCGAAAGAGCGAGACTCCGTCTCAAAAAAAAAAAAAAAAAAGAAAGAAATTCTTCCGGATTAAAAGAAACCAAAGAGATGTGACAGCTGACAGCAATGTGTGAGCTAGGATTTTCTTTTGCTGATACGATCGGGACAATTGGTGAAATACGAGTAAGATCTGTAGATGAGTTAATAGTATTTTTATCAATGATTGCATTGGTCTGTTCTTAAACCGCTATAAAGAAATACCTGAGACTAGGCAATTTATAAAGAAAACAGGTTTAACTGACTCATGGTTCTACAGGCTGTACAGGTACCACGGCTGGAGAGGCCCCAGGATGCTTTCAATTATGGCTGAAAGTGAGGGGAAACAGGCGCATCTTACATGAGTAGAGAGTGAACAAGGAGGAAGTGCCACACAGTTGTAAACAACCAGATCTCGTGAGAACTCACTCACTGTCGCTAGAACAGCAAGGGGAAAATCCGCCGCCATGATCCATCCGCCTCCATGATCCAATTACCTCCTATCAGGCCCCTCCTCCAACACTGGGGACTACGATTTGACATGAGATTGGGGTGGGACACAGAGCCAAACCATATCATTGATAATTTCATGATTTTGTTCATTGTATTGTGGTTACGGAAGAGGATATCTTTGTTTTAGGGGAAATATACCCTGAAGAGAAAAAAGAGCATCATTATGTCTACATGAAAAAGAAAATAAAATGAATATGTTTATTTAGAGAGAGAAAGAAAAAGCAGATGTGGTAAAATGTCAACAGACACGGAATCTGGGTAAAAGGTATACAGAAATACTTTGTATTATTCTTGCAAGTGTGAAATTATGTCAAAATAAGTTGCTTTAAATGGCCATCCAGGCCGAGAGCAGTGGCTCACACCTGTAATCCCAGCACTTTTGGAGGCCGAGGCAGGAGGATCACCTGAAGTTGGGAGTTTGAGACCAGCCTGACCAACATGGAGAAACCCCCTATCTACTAAAAATACAAAATTCGCCGGGTGTGGTGGTGCATGCCTGTAATCCCAGCTACTCGGAAGGCTGAGGCAGGAGAATCGCTTGAACCCTGGAGGCAGAGGTTGCTGTGAGCCAAGATCATGCCATTGCACTCCAACCTGGGCAACAAGAGTGAAAAAAAAAAAAAAAAAAAAAAAAAAAAAAAAAGTCATCTTTAAGATGCAGGGAAAGTCTAAACCACCATCTAGATGGTAAGAAAAATCTTCAGTTCAGCCAGGCTGTGCTGACAAGGTAGTTCACCTCAATTCCACCTCCTTAATAACTCACCACTTCCTGGCCAAGTATGGTGGCTCACGCTTGTAATCCCAGCACTTTGGGAGGCTGAGGAGAGCGGATCACTTGAGGTCAGCAGTTCGAGACCAGCCTGGCCAACATGGTGAAACCCTGTCTTTACTAAAACATACAAAACTTAGCCGGGCGTGCACAAAACTTAGTCAGGTGTGGTGGCACGTGCCTGTAATCCCAGCTACTCGGAAGGTTGAGGCAGGAGAATCGCTCGAACCCAGGAGATGGAGGTTGCAGCGAGCTGAGATTGTGCCATTGCACTCCAGTCTGGGCAACAGAGCGAGACTCTGTCTCAAAAAAATTCACCACGTCCTCCTAACCTGACCTCACCACCTTGGTTCAATTCCTCTAGTTCTGGAAACACAAAGATGAATTCTGCTAAGAAACTGGGCCCTGACAAACCAACTATTAAACATTCTTTAAATTAATTAATTGTCTCATGCAAGAAAGCTGTTTTGTCTTGAGATTGTATAGTTTCTTCCATTTCCTGACATCTAGCTCACCTTTACGGTGTGGTCATTTATAGCTTTTCTTAAGGGAAAGGATGAAGATAGCAGGAAACTTCTAGCTGTGGAGTTTAACAAGTTATTGAACCTCCCTGAATCTGTTCCCTTGTCTGTAAAACAGGACTGGTAATAATACAGATCTTCATAAAATAGCTGTGAGGTTTAATAACACCTTGCGGGTAAAGCTTTTGAAATAATGCTTGGTAAATAATAAATACTCAGAAAAGCATAGCTGTTAGGAGAAGATGTCTGTGACTTATGCTTCTCATCCCACTGAGAATTCTTTACATAGACTCAAGCAAAGATTAACAATGGGATTATTAGTTCGAATTATCTCTAATGACAGGACCTTGTTGCTAATAGCTTGTCAATGGATTGTATCCCATAATTCACTGTATTTGGTGGCTTTTTTTCTTTTTTTCTTTTTTTTTTTTGAGATGAGTCTCGCTCTGTCGCCCAGGCTGGAGTACAGTGGTGCGATCTCAGCTCACTACAACCTCTGCCTCCCAGGTTCAATCAATTCTTCTGCTCAGCCTCCCAAGTAGCTGGGATTACAGAGGCATGCCACCATGCCAGGCTAGTTTTTGTATTTTTAGAGAGATGGGATTTCACCTTGTTGGCCAGGCTTGTCTCGAACTACCAGCCCCAGGTGATCTGCTCGCCTCTACCTCCCAAAGTTCTGGGATTACAGTCGTGAGCCACCGCCTCTGGCCTTGGTGGCCTTTTTATTGCCTTTGGAATGTAGGGGTAAAGCTTTTTTCTAAGGTTTGGTAGAAAATATTTTTTAACTTTACAAAAGTAAAGGAAG